TTTTTTTTTTTTTTTTTTTTTCCATATGATTGTGTTTGCGATTAATTAGCCCCCAACTTCTTAATTATTTCAAATCTGGAAATTCCAGATATCGCGGAGTAACAATACACAGGTAATATGTGGTTTCCACACTGGCTGTACAACATTTCTTATATTAAAATTAGCTCCTAGGTATCAGGAGACAGGATATAGCTGATGACATCTCGATAAAGGAGGGCAAGCTGAAAAAAAAATTAACAATTTCTTCCATAACTCACTTGATATAATCGAGCAAAACATGACTTTTAATCTAAATGTTACCATCAATTTGCTACCTTTAAATTAATATGTTAGGTATTTGATTATCATTAGAAAGAACTTGAGATATTTTAACTCACTGTCGTATTAAAACTATGAATGAATGGATTTGTTCTTTTGTATATGACAATGATACTTCACACAAAAAAGGGATACAAAATGATATATAAAACATACTTTTCCTGCTTAACACCAACACAAACTTTTAACTTTAAAAACGGAGATTTAATACCATGAGTAATTAAAAAACTGTTATTCTGTTACACCAATCTCAAAGTGACGATTGAAATATCATTTTATATCGTGTACTTCAAAATAATTAATTACACCTAAAACTGACAGTTTCAGAGACAATGCCATTTTAAAAGTACTCAAGAATTAATCACTTTACATTTAGTTGAAAATGTCAAAAACTCAACACTGTAGAGTTACAATTACAACACTTATCTTTTCTTCCATCATGACGAGCTATTACCATAAGAAGAGTTTGATTACCCTAATTATATATAGTAAAACTGGTTAAGCTTACATCTAAATGACTGTTCAAAACAAGTGACAATAAATATGATCATTGTCCCTCTTAATATAACAAATCAAACATAGCATAAACAACATTAACTACACTGTCGTTCATATACATCATTTCAAAGGAAAACTGCAAGTTTATAAAATTAAACGGAATTATACTCATTACATGAAAAGGCCCGGCATGGCCAGGTGGGTAGGACGCTCGACTCGCAATCTGCGGGTTGCGGTTTCGCGCCCCCATCCCACCTTTCAGCAATGGGGGCGTTATAATGTAACGGTTAATCCCACTATTCGTTGGTAAAAGAGTAGCCCAAGAGTTGTGATGGAATATCACAAACATCATAGTCGACAGTACAACATTATTATTCTACTGTATTTTTGGCTATAATGTCTTTGAGAATGTGAATCCTAAAATCTAAGTTTTTTTGCTAACAGCTACAAGGCTAGTCGATGTTATAAAATGATCGGTGCATTAAACAGTCGTTATATATCCTTCAAAGTAATGAACTTTTATTTCACACGAACAAGATATTGTACAGATCTCGTCGTTGTTCACACATGAACAGTTAGAACTGCATGAACCAGAACGGCATTAAGGTAGAAAACCACTTAGAAGTTCAGGTGCATCTGGCTGACTCATCATCTGTGAGATGAGATCATTGTAACTTCTCTTTTCCCATTTATACGTAGTTGGAATAATGTTGATGTAATGTTTTAAAAATATATAAAGATAAGTAGCAGTTTTTTTCCCAATGACTCAACATTATAAAGGATTCCGTTACGAGCTTAGGAAATCTAGAAAACATTTCTTTACCATTTCTTCCGTGCTACCGTTTTGTTTCCAGTCAGTTGATGATTCTACCATTCACCAAGTTGATTTCTGTTTAGTAATACACAGATGATACACTTACATCTCTAGTCAAGTTCAGTTGTGGTAACGTTAGATCGAGTTAAACAAGCATTTCTATCACGTGTAGTTCTACAGTCACCATGCAAGCTAATTGCACTGCTATTACTACTAAGTTTATCTAACTTTAATCGTTTTTATAATGCTCTTTGTGCATGTAACGCACTAAAATACGTAGATCGAGTTTTCATGATAATGAAGATTAATTGTTATTTCGAGATAAGTTTGTTAGCAACTTCATCAAGTTGAGAACAATGAACAAAGCTTTGAAACATCAGGAATGCCTACTTGTTCTTTGAAACATCAGGAATGCCTACTTGTTTTTTTTTAAGGACCTATATCTAACTCAGCCATTCTTAACGACAAATACAAAGAAAGGACACCTGATAAAATAAAAAGAGAAAAAGTTTGAAACTAGTTAGTAAATAATTTATGATTTTCGAACATCTGGTTAAGTAAATATTGTTCCTATTTAAAAAAGTATATACACACAAGTGCTCAGTTTAGGTCTTCGCCTCATTACAGGGAACAAAGCATTCACCAAGTGTTTTTAACATTGACACACGGGTACACTGACAAATAATATAACTTGAAAACAATACTAATGCAACATTGATACTGAGTTTAGTTTCTAGACTGATAACTGCGATATTTAGTGGAATAAGTCCCGTGTGTAACACATTTTACACACATTTTTAAATATAAGCCTTTAAGTCACACTTTTCTGAATTATGACTTCCCAAGAGGTAACATTTCATATAAAACAAAATCACAAAGAATTGATACCAGCACAAAGACTCGAACAAAAAATATATTTCAATGCACGTCTTAAGAAATAGGCCTAAATGAACTCGTTTTTCGAAAAAAATTATTGAAAAAAATATTCAAACATCTATACTTTATAAAACACCACAGCGAACTTGTTGACGTCATGCGATAAATAAGTACCTTAGTTTATGAGTCCCTAGGACTTGTATCAATATTTGTTGCTAACGCATCGTTCATACATTTCTGTTTAGAAGTACAACAGGCAGAAGTAGGTGGTTGGTGTCTTAACGATTTGGATTGTAAATCTTCAAAGGTCACGTGTGTTAGAGGAATCTGTCAGTGCATTGTGGAGTATCCTGTTGTTGTTACTATAAGCTCAGAGAAGGAATGTATGGCAGGTAAGCTTTCCAACAGTTTGTTTTTTAAGCATAAAGCTATCACATTGAGCTAGCTGTGTCATGCCCACCATGGGTATCGAAACCCGGTTTTTAGCGTTAATAAGCCTTCAGACTTACTGCAGAGTCACTGGCGGGCAAACTTCCCAAGACAAATTTAATATATGTTAACGTCTAATTTGTAAACTGTCATACTTAGTGTCGGATACGCAGAATCTTGGTTTAAAAATATATTTATTTTCCTCCATAATCAGAACCTTCGATAATAATATGATGAATATTTGTAGAGCTCAACCAGAACGTAGGAATATAGCCATCCACTCGCCAAATTGAAAAATTTTACACAGTTATCGAAAAGTTTTGTATAAATATACTCTGTACTGAACAAATTCGTAATAGGGGAAAAATTTCATTCTGAACTTTTGTCTTTCTGTAATTTTAAAATATAACTTTCTGGAATAATAATAATGTTATTGTAAAATGTTCCATAAACCTCTCATCAGACGACAACTGATAATAAATATATGGGTGTATGTGCAACTGGACTAAAGTATTTTAAATTATATCTTATAATTAGACGGCTTCTATTAAATACAAACTGTCAACGTAACTTTTATGCGTGATGTATTCCAATCATTTATATAGGAAATCTAACAGATGAGCTTTTTTGAATAAAGTTAGCAGTGTCGTATAAGTGTTTAGAGAGAAGTAATTCTCCACTGACAAGAGGTTAATTAATTAGAGATTAGTTTCAAGCCCAAACTCTAATCGATATCAATAACTGTCGGAGGAAGAAATACGGTGTTAAACAGCAGTTTCATAACACAGAAATATTATGACAGCTGGCAAGTAATTTCTGTTTAATAAACCTACAAGACAAAGCTAACGAAACTGTAATTTCGTCTCAGAAAATTTATTTTTATGCGTAAATAACCTTGTCAAAAATTATTAAAGTAATGAGCAACTTTTTCTGAAATAAAATTTGTTAAAGAGAACAGTAAAACACTTTGTGAAAGTTTCGTTTGAGTTTACTTAATTTTTTTCACAATTTACAGCTTTTACAGTAAGGAAGAATATTTTTTAACAGGTACGACGTTTCGATCATTCTCAAATACACAGTGTTTAACGATACGAAACATTTTCGTCAACAATTTCAACCAAGGAAATGGAAGCTTGAATTGATCTATCACGAAAACAATTAATAGCATCTTCTATCGGGATTTTAGTAAACAAGGAAACTATATCAAATGATACAAATTTGTCAAAAGGATTTAGATTAATGTTCTTAATTTTTTCAACAAATTCAGCGGAATTTGTTATAGTATATTTATTCATGTTACTCAAATACGAAAATCTTTTACTAATGTACTTTGCATACTTAGTATATGTACTGAGATGAGGTATCTATACTAGATACAATAGGTCTGAAGCTATTATTTAATTTATGAAACTTAAGTAAAGCGTAAGAACGAAGGGGGCAAAAATAGGAAGGAATCAGGTTCTTTTTTTGTCCAGGTGACAAAGTTACACATTGATCAACATGTTTTTTTTTATTAAATTATGAAATTTTAATGTTGGATTTCTTTTAAGAGGAATATACGAATCATTATCTAACATCTGATTCACACTGGGAATATAATTAGATTTGTTCATCACCACTACACACCCTCCTTTACCAGCTTGTGTAACAACAATATTATTGTTACTTTTCAAGGACTGTAAAGCTAATTTTTCTTTTATTTTGTCAAATTACTATTCATTTTTACATTTCGTTTTCACACTATGTCTTGACATTGATATCTGTAATAGTTTTTATTCTATTACCTTTAATTTGTGCAATGTTAGATTCAAAATTAGTTACCACATCTTTAATGGGTATAAACTGTGGAGTTACAGCAACATTTAAGCCTAAACTTAGTACATAAGTTTGCGTATCTGTAAGGTTGACACAAGATTTTTTAATAACTTTTGGGTTAGATAGTGGCGGTACTTCAGAAGTTTCATTTTTCTTAGATTTATATAAAGATTTAAACTTAATATCCAACTGTTTACTATACTGTTCATTTTCTTTTTTAATTCTACTCCAACAATAATTTTCATACCAAAGACTGTTGAAATCTTTATCAAATTCAGGATCTTCCCTAATATACTGGAAGGTGACTTCTACAAACAGTAGTTTCTAGTTTGGAGATTTCATTTCTTTTTTTTTCCTTTATCTTTAATAGTTTTAATTTAATTTTTTCCAGAAGATACGTTATGCGCCCACCTTTTTGATTACATGTGACCTTGATGAATTTTGGTATTACCAAATTGTTTCTGCAGTTAATTAAAAATTTTAGTTTGGTTAACTTACGTTGTAACTTACTCCGCTGTCGTAGTAAACGTTTCGCCGAAATCCCCATTGAAATCTTCAACTTCAAGATCTTCTCTAATATACAGGAGATGACTTCTATAAACAGTAGCTTGTTTAGAGATTCTATTTTATGTGTTACACATTACAATTTCGAAAGGTCTGAAACCTAGCTAAATGATACTTTAAATTTAGTAGTTAAATTGTATTTTGGATTTAGCAGTTAAGTAAAAGACGATATATAGTCAGTTGATGACATTTGCCAACAAGATTGATGCACACAGTTTTCTTTTTACTACAAATATGTTTTAATATACAAACAAAAAATACAATTTACAATAACAGTTATTACAAACAATAATTTATAAACAAAAGTTTCATAAACTTACAAACAATATAAAGTCTTCTTTCTAG